CTCTCTCTCTCTCTCTCTCTCTCTCTCTCTCTCTCTCTCTATCTATCTATCTATCTATCTATCTGTGTGTGTGTGTGCGTGTGTGTGCGGCACACTTTGCCTTTCTGTCTGTTCGCCTCAGCCTCCCCCTCGTTCTCCCTGTGCATGCCTCTCGCAAAGCCTTGTCTGAAGAGTGCATCCATACTTACCAGCAACCAGAAAGAAGGGCATCTGGGGGCAGGAATCGACGTAGTACGTTGCTGGGCCAAGCGCAGGCGTCAACAAGCTAAGGAAGAAGAAAGCTGCATGCGCACTCCCATGGCCGAGACCACTAGCTGTGCTAAAAGGGAATAACAAACAATCAAGCACACAACAACAACAACAACAACAACAACAACAACAACAACAACAACAACGAAAAGCCAGGAGAAACGGAATTAACTTCAGTTCACTCCAAGGGTTTCCTTGGGGCCACATGTTACACACCTAGAAATATTGATCCCCATCCATAATGCGATATGTTTCACACCCCTTCCTAAACGGATGGTGGAAAATATACTTTGCTGGTATATGTTTGCCAAGGTTGCAGGTACGACTCCATATCCAGATTGATTTTTTTTTATTTTTATTTTTTTTTAAATGACATACACAACCAAATGAGCCAAATGATCATAAACAACAACTACCTTCCAAAATGCTGTTGAGCACCCAATTGCATCTCGATCCCGACTAACCCCTCAACACATCTGCATTGCAGAAACAAACAAGTTACAAAAAAAAAAAAAAAAAAACGTAATAAAAAGTAGTAAAACATAAAGAGAAGGGGGGAAGCTTTCTTTTTTTTTTTTTTTTTTAAACAAACATCCGCCTGGGGTCACTAACGGGGGTGTGAGCATCCTCCACTCGCAAATTCGCATGGCAGATGCCTCCAGTCTATTGGTGGGGAGTAGCACCTGCTGGAAAACTACCCCAGAGAGGGAGGAAACTTCTTTTCTCCCCCTTTTTTTCTAATACAAATTTACAAAATCATTCACAAAGATCCACGGACGAAAAGATACCGTCTCTTTCAAGAGCTCAGTTTCCCATCTCCTCGCAATCCACATCTATACATTTGACCATCGCAATGATACAGGTCCTGAGAGGGGAAAAAAAAAAAAAAAAAAAAGATACAGGTCTTGAGGTGGGTCCTGTGGTACCGTCGTCACTCGAATAGAACACCCAGCCATAATAGCTATACTTGGGGCAACTGTCAGTCCAGATGCAGCCAGAATGACCGGGCGTTCTATTTGGGTGCAGACGGTAGGTACGGTGCTACCGTCTTCCCCCGAACGTAACGCACATGCGTCGTATTCGAGTTCTCAAAATAAATCGATGATTTGAATAAAACGCACATGCATTGTATTCGAATATACCAGCTGTTCGAATAGAACACACATGCCTTGTATTCGAATAGAAAGCAAACCTATGCATTGTATTCGTTTACAACACATGCGCTATGTTCGGGGGAAGATGGTAGGCATGGGACTAGGTACTAGGCATGGTACAAGGTAGCTGCTAGGTATGGAGCTAGGTATGGGGCTAGGTATGGGGCTAGGCATGGGGCAAGGGACCGGGCTCGGGATGGTGGTAGGTATGGTGGTAGGTATGGTGCTAGTTATGGAGTTAGGTTCCATTACCAAGGGCATAACAATTAGAATGTAACTCGCACCTAGTCCGATTTGCATCCTGTCAATGACAGATAATCGCGGCTTTGACTGCCTGGCAGCAACTGCATCCAACTGGACCTCTGCCTTCCTGAAAGCCAACCAACCAACCAGAGTTCATACCACCATACCACAACAAGAAAACAAAAAAAAAAGGAACATACCACAGCATGACATAGTTGTGCGGGAAGAAGGTCACCGGCTCAGTAAACAGGACCCAGCACAAAATCATCTCTTACTTAGCCCAGCTCATCACAAGAACAATGACAATCCCTGCTGCTCGCTACAGAGGTGAGAAAGCACATGGCTGAACCAAAACTGAAACCCACAGAGAAGGCTTTTTTTAAACAAAAACAAAGGGCAACAGCCTTGATATATCATCATCGTTGAACTGCCTGGCCCCCAGGTAATTCAGAATGAATTTACCATGGTCATCTGGTGGTACCTGGATTCCGACAGTTCACGGGTGTACCAACTGAGCTAGGCCTATTGGTAACCCACAGCGAAGGCTTATTCCAGGTCAGTCCCGAAAAAGACGACACCGTCATCAGGACTACTGAGGAGAGTCAGGCAAGCCAAGCTCTCTCACAGGGTAACTCAGCTATGGCTCCCAAAGACTCCCAACTCCTGACATACGACTTTTCTATCGTTGGCCATTGGATTTGGATTAACAATCTGGTGGCCACATTTCCCTCTCTTCCATCCGGATGATTCTACCATTCAAGGGTAAGGGAAGGTGGCACCCGCCACCTTACACGCACGTCGTCACGCACCTTCGAAAGCTCTGGCACAAACAGAAATGAGTGAGTGGCCAGAGCAAACAAGACGATGAACTGAGCACCTCCACCAGCATTGCATGCACAACGCACACCGTTATGCGAAGCCCGTTGACCAAGTTATCAGCATATCATTCAGGGGGGATGATGGGTCAGCAAAGGGTAAGGTTCACAAGTGCCATAAATGCCTATTCTGCGCAAGTACAGGCACCCTTAGAAGCTGCTTCTGCTTTTAGATGCGTTTCGCGAACAGCATCTAAAAGCAGTAGCAGGAAATAGAGAGGATCACTTTATCTATATTCTGAACAACCGTCCTTTTCACCCACTTGGCAAGGAAGCGTAAGTATTTAAAGTAGTGACGGCCCTGAACTTTCTCACGATGAGGTGACGCTTACGGGGTGGTGGATATGCTCACCACGATTGAATTGAAAGAGGCAGATTCACCAATTAATTAATTACTAATCTCACGTTGTTTTATTAACAAAACAGAGGTAAATACCATGGTTAATGTAATGACTGTGGTTAAGATCTGTGGCCAAGGCTGACTTGGGAATGTACCAGAATGCTTCCGAAATGGGTTAAGTGTCTCTGCCTCTGCGCCTTAAAATAGAAATTACATCCGCATGTTTCTGATCTCTCCCATAGAGTAGAGGTAAAATACCACAGAAACCAATGGGCCTGGGTCAGTTGGTACACCCACGAACTGCTGAAATACAGACCCAAGTTCGAATCCAGATACAATCAGATGACCAGAATGGGAACATTTTAAATTAACTGGGCCCGGTCGGTTCAATGATGATATCTCAAGGTCGTCGCCCTTCGGGGAAAAAAAAAAAAAAAAAACAGAAATGACCTGAGGCCAAAACTAAACTCAGAACACAGCCATATGGATCTCTGTGCTCCATGTCTTTTCGACAAACGGCAGCATCCCTCCCTGGTCCAGCATCACTCCCTGCTTTTCGGACTGCTCAATCCATTTCCTACCAGGGGCACATTCACACTAGAACTGGTCCATCAAATGGGTCTGAGTTTTGCTCAGATACATCCAGGAAAGTCCTGTATGCACAGGTACATCCTATACCACACTGGTCCTGACCCGCAGAAGAGGCAAAAGCACAAACTTCCACAAGACAGGCAAGAGGCCAGTGCATGTACACCGTACAATACCTCCTTTGGGAACACTTTGGGAGATCTCCGGGGGGTATCATCCCAGGACATGTTCGACCGTCCTTGGGACCACATTGGGACCATCTGGGGACAGCTCAGGACTATCCTTGGGACCGTCTTGGGACCGTTTCGGGACCATCTAGCAACATCTTGGAACCATCTTTTAAACCACTTTGGGACCATCTGTGAGACCATCTTTGGGACCATCTTGAGACATCTTGGGACATCTTGGGACCATCTTCCAGACCACTTCGGGACCATCTTGAGACACCTAGAGACCATTTCTGGACCACTTTCTTTGGGACCATCTTGGGACTGTAGTAAGAACACTTTGTAACCACTCTGGGACCATCTTCTGAACCACTTTGGGACCATCTTGGGACTGCTTTGGGACCATCCTTGGGACTACCGTAGTTTTGGACCATCTTCGGATCACTTCGGGACCATCTTCGAGGACATCTTGGGGCAATCTTCTGGACCACTTTAGGACCATCTTTGAACAACAACAGATAAGTTGCAAACCATTGTGACATAAAATCCAAGCCAACTACCCTGCTGTATTCCTCACAAACAGCTGCACAGATGAATACATGTCACTAAATTCTTTGAATATTTTCCCACTCGCTTCCACAGGAACGGAAGTCCTAACTAACATCAACGTCACAATGCAACTCCTACCGTCTTCACCCACCCGAATAGAACGCCCGGTAATTATAGCCATATCTGGGCTGAAAGTTGTGCCAAATACAGCTATAATGGCCGGGCGTTCTATTTGGGTGAAGACGGTAGTATCCAGGAGGGAAGCGGAGACGGGGGCAAGTGATAACCGGAGTGAGAGAGACAAACGGAGGGAGGGGCACAAGCGAGGCAAATAAGAGAGGGGGGAGTCCAAGAGAACGGGGGAGGGATGGAGAGAGAGAGGAGGGAGAGTCAAGAGAACAACGGAAGAGAGAGCAACGTAGAAAGAGAAGACGCGAGGGGGGGGGGGGGGGGGGGGGGGGAGCCGCGGGGCGGGGGGCGCCTGGTGGGGGGAGCAGAGGATGAAGGGTGCTTTTACCGTTTTTCTAATGGTCGTACAACATTGCGTCAACTAACTTGACTACATCCCCCTACCACATTGTCTTTGTCCAGCTGGCTTAGAGCATAAAGTTCATAAACATACATTCAACAAACTCAAAGTGTGAGCGAGCCCAGAGTTCGTTATCACAAGTCAGAGAGCGACAAAGGTCAATCGACTTGCATGTATTTGTTCCAAAGAAGTCAGGGCTAACTCACCAACAGTGACGCCAAAAGATGAAGGCCGGGGACGAAGAACTGGCCCCCCTTCTGATGGCTCATGTACGCATCAAATGCAATGACCATGCCAAAGGTATGTATTATGAGAAATGATGATGACATCAATGCTGCACACAGCCCGTACGCCAACCAACAAGACGATCCGTTAGAGATTGTAATAAACCTCTAATAACCATTTCATAACAACTGTGTTTCTAGCAAACAGTGGCACAGCAATATAAGTCGATAGAACTGCTCCCCGTTATGTTAATAAAAGATTACATACTACATAGTATACATATCAACTACAAAAAGAGAACAGGACCGAGCCACCAGGCCCGCCTCTCAGGATTATGGTCCCATTCTTTCTCCCACTTACCGCTCTGACCTTGGCCCTACCGACTGAATCTGGACGGCGATGAGGGCAGGAACAGCCAGAACCCCCCCCAAAAGGTACTGCTATGCTGTTGTTGCAAAAGTCCTTCCTTTTTGGGAAAATTTTCGAAATGCCCCTGAAGTTTCGACTAATTTGCGGCATGCCCAACCCCCCAGACCCTGACTAACCCTCCGTCCTCGGCCCTTTCCTGCACTTCTGTTCCCGGCGCCCCCCCCCCC